AAAAAAAAAATCCATGATGAAAACATCAAGATTTAAAAAGATAACTACAGGGCTGGGGATTTAGCCCAGTGGCTACTCTTGCCTGATTCACAAGTGCAAAGTCCCAAATTCAATCCCCAGTATCAAAAAATAAAATAAAATAGATTTACACCTTGCACTTGAACTTTTTTTTCCTGGTACTGGAGATCAAACTCAGGACCTTCTGCTTGTGAGGCAGGCAGCAGAACCTCTGAGCTAAATCCCCAGCCCACCTGTATACTTGAATTTGAACTTCTCATACCTAATCCCAGCCCTGGTTCAAATAATCTTTTTTCCTCCATTTCCAATAAATCTTTATTTACAAAACCAGGCAGCAAATCCACAGACTACAGTTTTCCTTCTCTTTTTCCTTTCCCTTCATTCTCCCCCTCCTCTTCCTCCTTTTAATTGAACCTATGGATGGTGTCACTTCCCTAGTATGCATGGGGACCTGGATTTGATTCTCAGCATGTTAATTATGTATACTAGTCATCTATTTTTAATTTTTTATGAGTTCACAGTACGTAATGATTACACTCATCATGGGGAGTTGATACATGTGTATAACATCAGTTCTTTTTATTTTTTTCCATCATTTGTATAAGATTTTGGGGGGGATAGCAGAGATTGAACTCAGGGCCTTGAGCTTGCGAGGCAGGCGGTGGCACCACTGAGCTAAATCCCTGGCCCCATATGTATAGAATTTTTAATGTTGAGTATTTTTGGCGCCTGGAGAGTGTAGCTCTTTAAATTTTCCACAGTGAGTTCCTCACTTACCTAATCCTAATTCTAATCTAAGGTTTTGTGTGTAAAGACCATATAATAATAAAAGTTTGAGACACATAAGCACCCTGTAAACGTTAACATTACTACTTTTCATTGAAAATTGTTGCGAGGTCCACGTTGGTGGGCTGCTGACGCTTTAATTACCGCGCTGTATCCCGTGAGTCTCTACGGCCTGCCGCCCTACTGTATCCCATCGTACCCTGCGCCTTCCGGCCATGGCCGCTCGTAGTCCCGCCTCTTCCGGCGCGCGCCCCACCATGGCGCAGGGACAGCGCAAGTTCCAAGCCCAAAAGCCGAGTAAGAGTAAGACCGCGGCGGCAGCCTCGGAGCGGAACCGCGGGCCAAGGAAAGGCGGTGAGGAGCGGGCCGGGGAATGAGCGGGGTAGAGCCTGGCCCCGGCCGCCCCAGCCTCACGCGAGTGTGTCCCTCTAGGTCGGTTGATCGCCCCCAAGAAGGCGCGCATCGTGCAGCAGCAGAAGATCAAGAAGGTGAGCGGATCCCAGGGATCGGGGGCGCTGTGGAGGTCGGCCAGGAGCTCCAGCCCGCCGAGCCTGTTTCCTCCTTTGGCGCACAGTGTTGGGAGCGCGTTCGCAACCCTTGGGGTTGAAAATCCAACTTCACCAGAAGGCAGCGCCGAAGGAAATCCTAGCTCCACGAGTGATTTCTTCACCCTGAGCCTTTTCCCCAGGAATTCCTAGCGACGGTACCCGTTCCTAGTTTGTGAGCATGCGAAGGGACGGGGTGCCTGCAGACGCTGCGGTCGGCGCCAAGCCTAGTCGGGGTGCCGCTGCCTCGTTATTGGTGTAGTGTTTGTGGTTATCTTTAAGCGTAGCTGTTATCCAGGTGTGTAGGGCCGAGTCTATAAAGAAGTTAGAAAGAAAGCCGGGTGTGGTGGCTCACGCCTCTAATCCCAGCACTGGGGAGGCAGAGGCAGGAGAATTGCCGTGATTTCGAGGCCAGCCTGAGCTACATAATGGGTTCAGGGTCAGCCTGAACTACAAAGTGTGACCCTGTCTCAAAAAAAAAAGAAGTTAGAAAGAGACTTAAATCTAGTCCTGTGATCCTGAGCAAATCATTTAGACTCTCTAGAGTGTCGCTTTACTCTAAACTGGTCACCTAAGGACTTGCTCAGCTCCGTGGAGTGGGATCAGGAGGCATCTGTCTCATGGAATGCCAGATGCCCAAAATGAGCTCCTGATCTCAAAATACCCATTCTCCCCCCGTGCCTGTGGCCCTGCACGTCTCATTTCAGGATGATTCTGCCCTTCCAGGTGCTAGGGATCACCATTGAATCCCTGTTTTCTTTCTCATCCCACCTGTCCTGCCATCTGCCTGGACCTATGTAGTCACCTCTTTCTGGCCTGCACCGCTCCCTCCCACAGCAGCCAGAAGATACCATGAATACCACATGTCACAACCTGGCCCTCTTCTGCCCAACACTCACCATGGCTCCCACCATACTCAGAAAAAAACAGAAAAGCCCTGCACATTTTGCCCTGCACCACCCTACCCCTCGCCCTTTCACTTTTTCCCTGTCCCCTGTCCTTCCAGCCTTACAAGTCTTCTCCTGATTTCTTGGCCTGGTGGCAGCTAGCCCCGCCCCTCACTCAATCTCCCTGATGTCTCTTCGCTGTGGCAACAGTTATTCTAGTGGAACAGTTTGGCATCTGTGTCACTGATGTGCCTGTCTTCCACTTCTGGGCATTGAATGCTGGGATCTAGGTGGGCAGGGATTTTCCTGCATCTTTTTTGCTGTTGTGTCCACAGTGCCCAGACACACTGTTAGCTACCCTGCTGGTAGCAGTTGTAGTTATTAGAACTCATTGGCAGTACAGGAGCAGTGTGAAGGTGATTCGGCCACCAGCTACCAAAGTGACTCAGACCCACACTGGCAGACCCTGTTCTTCCCTAGAGAGCAAAGGTGACACAGGACAAGAGGGGTCTGCCCACCTAGAGGCAGGGATACATCGAGTTTCTGTCTTTCACCACCCATGTGGCTTGGGCACCTTGGTATGAGCAGAGATGGAGAGGCAAGAAAGGTTTGTGGTGTGGAGTGAGGCTTCAGTCCCGGTCCTCGGGCCCCTCGTGAGAGCTGTGTGAAGGGGACATTTGCAGATCCTGCTCCCTGTGCGCTGGCAGAGGGCAGCTAGCCAGGGCCTCCCACTACTGCATCCCAGCCTGATACCCTGGGATCACCCCTACAGGACTTAGAGATCGGGATCCGGAGGAAGATTGAGCACGATGTGGTGATGAAAGCCAGCTCCAGCCTGCCCAAGAGGCTGGCACTGCTGAAGGCCCCAGTCAAGAAGAAGAAGGCTGCTGCCTCCTCCAAGACTTCTCCCTGAAGGTGTGATCTCACAGCTATGCCTCCGGCAAGAGGAGCCATCCGCCACCAGTGGTGATGGCACCTAGAACTTGAGGGGGCTCTGGACCCTGGGGAGCTGCAGGCTCAGCTGCCTGGGTGCAAGGAGTGGGGAGTGTCAACATCCTCTGTCCCCTCCGCGGTCTGTCTCCATTGGCTTCACCCGGCAATAAACATCCCCTGTGTCATCCCTGTGTCATCATGTGGCTCTAGGAACAGGCCAGTGGGGGCCAGATGAGGCCACCTGTCCATGCTGCTCCCCCATGCGCTTTACCTGGCCGGTCCTCAAGCTGGGAAAGCATCAGGAGGAGCTGGTCACCTGTAAGTGAGGCACCGCCTTGAGGGTCTCAGGGCCACTGTCCTGAACGAATCACCTGGCACTGCCTCCAGAAAGCCTGCCTGCAGGTCAGACCACCTCAGGTGACAGGGTTCCCAGGGTAGGTCCTGTCATTGACATTCGGAGCCAGTACTCGAGCCTACTGCTGCCAGATTCTCGGTCCTGCTATCAGCTGGCCTCCTGCTACTACTGTGTCCCAGACCACAACTCTGTCCCTGCCCCTCCTGGGGACTCCCACCTCTGAGTTGGTACTTGGTCTTCTGCATAGAGTGGGACCTGTGACATTTTAGGGAGCTGCCCCCTGGTGACCTTCCTTTCCACCTACTTCATCTTTGGGGTTTGGGTTCGGTACAGTTGGCTGCACCCCTGAGGTAGGTGATTAGTACGCTAGTAGCCTTGCCTTCTCTGTCCACTCACCACTCCGGAAGCAGAGGTGTTTGGTCTCCAGCCACTGCCCCCAAATCCCCTTTTTTTTTTTTTTTTTTTTTTTTTTTTG